TTAGAACGCCTTGCATTATGTTCTCTGTTTTTGCAGATAAGGACAGAAGACAGTAGGAAGATGTTGTATTTCTTCAGGGTATTGGTTGTGGCACTAGTGTCTCAGAAGGAGTGATATTTGTGCCACCTCACTTGTGAGACTGTTCAAACTCCAGTAGTTTCTTTTATGAATTTTTCTTCTTTCGTAATTCAAACCACAAGAGGGCAGTGAATATTTTTGGGTTGTCTCTAAATAGGTAGAGTATTTAAGGATACTAATTCACTAAGCAGTTGTACTCTTGAGACACTTTTAGATAGGGGATTTCTATCAAGATGTTTCATAAAATGTAGCAAATCTTTTATATGCTTTAGAGGTTAAGAGGCTGACTAGGATCATTCCAATCTACAGAAAGAATATTTCTAATTTACCTTAAACGTATAGATTTAATTGTGGGCTTCATCATCTTTGGCAGGTAAGCTGTGTTCCCTCAGGACTCCACTCTAGGAACAACTGAATCACCCCAGTTCAGGAGTGAGCATGAAATACTACACATTCATGCCAACCCCATTTACTTGCAAGACCTTTCCTTCCCCAAACGCCTTCTTTAGAGGTCGTCTGTAATGCATTGTAGTGCGCGTAGGAATCACACGAGGGCATCTGAGGACTGCTGCATTCTGTGATAAGGTGCCACAGGGCTACTGCTGGTTTTTGACTTTTTGCTCTATGAAACTGCACACGTCAACGACTTGGGTAAGTGCATTGCCCAATTGCTGCGCTGAGGAGGTCTGCCTGGTGCTGAGTACAGGTGTGCTTCAATATTCCTTCATGTTATGCCTATATATTACTTTTAGGTTGTTCTTGGGTCATCTCAGGGAGAACTAGGTATCCCTGGAGCACGCTTCTGTAGTGGCATAATACTTAGTGGCCAGCTACAGCTGCTTTAGTAGCCACGTACCAGGCACAGTTTGCTTCGCACTGTAATCCAATTCATAGTTGCCATGAAATGTTTGTGTAAAAACACGTTGGACATGATTCAGATTCCTGTGAAAGGGGGAAAGGTGTAATCCTGTCTGAGTAATTAATTTATGAAAGATTATTTTCTCGCACAAAAGAAAGGGCAATGGTTAAAGTATGTGTCTGAAGTGGCGGTGGGCAGGATGGGATGTGATGTTATATACCTAAGGATCTGCTGTTTGCTTTATAACCTTGCTTTTTAATTTACCTGTAGCTAAGCAGTGGGAGGAAACTAGAGGTCTGCTTCATTTTCTTGATAACTTGTAGTCAAAGAAAACATGTCTTGTTTGGTCCTCTGCAGGAAGATGGAACACTTGTATTTGGTATCTGTTGTAATTTTCACTTTCTTACCTTATATTCCATGTGATACCTGCTAGGTTTGTAAACATTGGCGTTTCCTAACTTGGAATACTTAGGTGTTCGACTCGAAATGTTTTTTTATTTGATTGAAGGTCTCTTATCTTACAGGTTTAGCTGACAACTCTTATCTTCATTGGTGCTTTTGCCTCGTCAGCCAAGAGATACTACTGGCAGTGTTATTTATCCTCATTTCAGAGATTATCTGAAAAAAGCACAATTTATGCAAGATAATGCAGGAAGCTTGAGGCAGGGCAAGGAACAATCCACCATCTGAGAATAATAGACCCTTTGAATATCCTCCTACTCCTTAACATTTGTTCTATAAGGACTGCTAAGAGGGCTACATAATGCTCTTCAAAGACAGCACTTTTCAAGATTATTTAATGAATTCATATCACTTGACGTTAATCCTGAAACTTATGATCAGTCAGGTTCCACCCGAACATCAACAAACAGTTATGAATCACTGTTATTATCTGAGCAGTATACAGACAGCAAAATTGTCAAAGCATCTGTGCTTAAGATCAACAAAACTATTAAAATATTAAACTATCTACCAAAAATGCTAGAAAATCTCTGTCCATATATAGCTATTCTTAATTGTTTTTATGGTTCTCTGTAGTTGGCTGACATTGTATTTTTGAAAAAGTTCCTCTGGCTTTTAAAAGGAGCATTCTTGCTCTCCTGTGCTTCACTCATTTTTCCAATTTCTCTGCCCTCATTACGATCTCTTCCCAGATTTTTAGGTGTATGAAGAAGACTGAAGCAGGTGGTGTTTCCCATCTGCACTGGGCAGTGCCTGATGGATGTTCCTTCTTCTGCAACATGGCAGCAGGATAATAAGCCCTGTGGTATTATCGCTACCTGTGCTGCAGTGGTGCCCACCAGCAACAGTGCTACCAAGAGATGGTGCCTGACCAAGGGTACACGTAGCCTGCTCCATGGTGCTCCCCATCTGCCTGGTGCCAGAGAAGTGAGCTCAGCAGGAGATCCAAGCAGTCACTGCAACAGATCTGCTGCAAGCTTACATCAAGTTCTGATGTTTTCCTTTTCATTGCTTCTTCTAGCAGCATGGTGGTGTGTGGGTCTATGGGGAAAGGAGTGTAATTGACTGACAAAAGCTCAGATTTTGCAGGTGTCTCGACAGGTTACTCAGAGCTCATTATATAACTTAGCACCCATAAAAGTTGTGAACCATGTTCAAGGCAAAGAATTGCAAGGAAGGAAAAAGCAGTCAACCAGCTGAAGACCTGCTCCTTCTGCTTTGTGTTTAATATTTTTACTTTTTCTCAAATACGGAGCTTGGAGGCAGCATGCTGGTGGACTCTACCTGCAGGCCAAACTGGTAAAGGAAATAGCATCCTTGAATTCCACAGATCCCTGACCATGCTGAGAAAGGACATGCATTACTTTTGGCTGTTATATGCCCTGGTAACTAGAATAAAGATATAATCTAAGATTCTTTTTGTACGTCTGAAACTGCCCATCACCTATTCAGATAAGTTGCACTATCCTTTCTTAATTCATCTCCAGTAACATCTCTTACAGTGGGCCGTGGTCTCAGAAGTATGATATGGCCTATAGTGCTTTTCATCTTTAAAGAAAAATGTGCAGTCATGTAGGAAAACCCTTGAGGAAAATAGGGTGTAGGTTTATTGCCTGAACATGGATATTAAGTCAGTGATAAAGCAAGACATTTGTCATTGTAGAGAACATGGCCTCAAAAGTAGATAAGCTCTGTAGAAAAGATCTTCCATGATTACATAGAAAAAAAACTTTCTTAAGACTGTCCATCTCTATATTACTTTCTCCTCAACCTATATTGAAAAAGCATTTAGCTACTTCATGGATTACACTGAAATTTATGCCAAGAACTTCTGTCTTAAAAGTCCTGACATTTTATTGTTTGTATATTATTTTTTCAGTGCATCTTGGTTTTTTACTCCAGATGACTGTTTGAGGTGTCAAAACTCTTGAGTTTAATTAATTAAAATGCAGCGTGAATTGGAGGAAAAATGTATGTAGAGACTGTACTTTACAATGCAGAGATATCCTATAACTTCAGTATCTTCTGCTTGGTGTCACTGTATGCCAATTTCAACACCTTCTAGTGTTTTATTTGTGTAACTCACCTCCTGGCTAGTCCTGACAGTAGCGATGGCCATGACACAGAGATTCATACAGCCCTTATTTGTGACAAGAAAATCATCCTCCTATCTCCTATTTTGAAGAGGTTGGTGTGAGGTCTCAGTGATGGTTGATGCATCTTGGAAGCAGAGAAGTGGGAACAGAGAGAAGATTATCTTGATTATTTGCATTTAAAAGGGACCAAAGAAACAGAAAAACAGGCTTTTTAGGCTTTGAACACCAAGTAGTAAGACCAAAAAATGTGCTATTTCTTTTAAATTCATTGTATTCCACCATCTCAAGAAAACACTTGTAAGGTCTATAATGAAGTAATTACAGGTGCAGCTACACTAGTCTTTTAGGTTTGATCAGGGGTGTATTTTTTAAGCGAGTATCACCATCACTCCCACTTACCATGCTTGAGTTCACATCACAGCAGTTTTGGAGTGTCCAAATTGAATTCCTTTGGTTGGAAACTAAACTAGAATATGCTCTTCAGATCCTAATGCTTTAGATCTCCACATTGCCTAATGCAGTCCAGTTAGTGCCACTGATGTTCAGTCCTTGGGATAAAATCAGAGCCAGCCAAGAAGTAAAACTCTTTGAGACAGTATAGATGCCAGATTCCTATGACCAAATATTTCAATGTACAGATCTGCTTGAGTTGCTTTGAAGTATTTGTTACTGTGGACATGGCCAATCTAACCTAGAGAACCTCCAAAAGGAGAACCACCATCATCTCCCAGCAGCTGAAGATGACAGCGTGCAGAATTCAAGAGCTGCCGAACTTGCAGAAGAAATCTTGACAAAAGATATCTTCAACCTTCCAAACGTTCAGGAACAGTTGACACCATCATTAGTCAAGGTCGAAGATTACAATACTTATTGTCACTTTGTTGAAAAATATAAGATTATAAGAACAATGATATTCACAACTACTACTCAATGGATCAGCAAAGAAATAAGCATGTATCTGAGTGGCTAGAAATTGGTCAAGTGTCCTCATTACTTAGGATCAACCCATTCTTTCTTATTAGTTCTGATACTTAAAATAGTATGAGAACTGTTACTAATTTTTATATAATCATTTAGGAGTCTGTATTTACAATACAAAATCTAAATGCTTTTTTTTTTTAATGTTCTAACCAGGTAGTTGGTCTGGGAAAGGGGTACATTAGCCAAGTCTGATGATGCAATCACCACAAGTACCTCCCATTTAAGAATAAGAAGAAACTCTGGCCATTCCAGCTCTGTTTCCTCTGTATTTCCATTTTCTTGTGTCTGTTTCATCCTGTACATCAATTTGTGTCCAACACTTTTTCTCATAGCATTGCTTAAAAATAGATAAAGTATATGTTAGTTATAATATAGTAATGATGGACTTTGCTCACTGGACAAGAAAAAAGGTAGGTAAGTTAATAGTTGATGAAAGGACAAAGGTTTTGATTTATGATATTTGCTATCTTAAATACAAAGTTGGTCTGAAATTCTGTCCATGCATCTGCTGACTGGAGAACAGCATGGGCTGGTTTTCTGTGCCTGTGCTCCTAACTTGGCTGCTTCTTCAGGTGGTCTGGAGTCAGGTAAGAAAAGAAAGGATGCATATTCGTTATATGATTGAGTAAGCAATGCAGCTTAGGATGAGTTTGAGAGGAAAATACTTAAGTATATTGCTTTTGCAAAATAAGGATTCTGTTGTCATCTGCATAGAAGAAAGATTTGTGTTTCCTCGGAGTCTTAGTGCTGCTATTTTTAATAGGCCTGGCTATACATGGGAAGAGCTTATCTTGCATCCTCCATCTAAGCAAAATATCTACTATTATTCAGAGTAATGTCACCAGAATAGCACGTTAGAACCAAGATAAGTATTAAAATTTATTTTGCTACTCCATATTTGAATGGAAATGTGATTTTTTTCTTCTGTAACACAATATATTTGGTACTGAAATTGATGCCTTTTTAACCACTGGATATATTTGTAAATGACTGTTCTTTGTTCCTCCAATCCAGCTAAACTATTTAATGCCAAAAAAAGTAACAGTTGAGATTTTATATTTCCTGTCTTTTGTAGTCAAATGTAGCATTTTACTCCTTTATAGAATCATAGAATAGTTTGGGTTGGAAGGGACCTTAAAGACCATCCAGTCCAACCCCCCTGCCATCGACAGGGACACCTCCCACTAGACCAGGTTACTCAAAGTCTCATCCAACCCGGCCTTGAACGCTTCCAAGCAGGGGGCATCTATAACTTCTCTGGGCAGCCTGTTCCAATGTCTCACTACTCTGAGTAAAGAATTTCTAATCTAAAGCCATTTCCCCTTGTTCTATCACTACATGCCCTTGTAAAAAGTTCCTCTCCAAATTTCTTGTAGGCCCCCTTCAGGTACTGGAAGGCTGCTATAAGGTCCCCCTGGAGCCTTCACTTCCCTAGATGAAACAACACCAACTCTCTCAGTTGGTCTTTGTAGGGGAGGTGCTCTGATCATCTTCATGCTCTCCTCTGGACCCACTCCAACAGATCCATGTCTTTCTTATGTTGAGGGTCCCAGAACTGGTTGCAGTACTCCAGGTGGGGTCTCTTGAAAGCAGAGCAGAATCACCTTCCTTAACCTGCTGGCCACACTTCTTATGATGCAGCCCAGGATACAGTTGGCTTTCTGGGCTGCAAACGCACGTTGCTGGCTCATGTGAAGTTCCTCATCAACCACACCCCCAAGTCCTTCTCCTCAGGACTGCTCTCAATCCATTCTCCACCCAGCCTGTATTTGTGCTTGGGATTGCCCCGACCCATGTGCAGGACCTTGCACTTGGCCTTGTTGAACTTCATGATCTTGTGATAACTTATTGTAGAGGCCAGGAATTTTGGTGATACACAATTTAATTGGTTTGGAGAACAAAAAACAGCAGGTTGTTGAAAGTTCATTTCAGCTGTTCATAGCTTGAGGGTAATCTATAGAGTAAGATAATACTTACTGTGATATCACTTAAGCAGGATAACGTTAGTCTATTTTATATTATGCAACTTAACTGCCTGATTCTCTGAATCCAGCTCCAACAACGTATTGTGGCAATTGTGTCCTCTTCCTCTCCACTAACACATGCTCATACGTCTCCCTAACTCAAGAGCTCAACCTCATGTCCCCAACTTTCCCATAATCCTCCTCTATCCCACAGTACCCCAGCCCTACACTTCCCCTGTATTTCTGCTACCCATCATGACTACCTGCCCCTCAGTTCCCAGCCTTTTGGAAACTCAAGTCTCAGCCTTGTTTAGATTCCTCTACAGGCTTTGGTAAAGCATGTAGTAGGTGATACAGTAGGTGAAGCTTTCATATGTCAAACTGACTCGTAATAACCAGCTCCTGTGTGAGAGAGGGTCTTCTGATCACCAGGGCTAATTATTTCATTTCCATGTGCCTTATGGTCAGAAAAAGCTTCTTTTGTATTTCTGGATGCCAGTATTAAAAGTTATATAGTCTAGAGAAAACACCAATAAATTAGGGTCTTTCATCTAAGCTGGTTGGCTATATTCCCTCTGAAGTCCATGGTGAGGCAGGGAAATTTTCATTGAGTGGTTTATCATATCCTTGAATAACTGTCCAAGCTAGGGTAGGTGGATCATCTTCTGGAGGTGCCAGGACATCTTGGTGGCGCCATACCTTTTTTAGGGACAGATGAATTATATATGCAATTTCTCATTTGTTTCTCCACTGATTACTGTGTGAGTCTACTTACCTAGTTTTTATGTGACTAAAATAGGTGAGATGTTTCCCACCTGTTCAAAATGTCCTTATTCGCCAGTTAAATGTGCTCACAAGCCATGATTTGATCAACCTTTAATGTAACTTAATTTACATAAACCATGTTGTTTGCCAAAGTTAGGGACTAGTACTATAAATGTTCAGAATTTTTTTTTGTGTGTAGATTGAAAAGTAGCATTGGTTAGACTAAATTCGGTTTCTCTTTGGTACACCACAGGTAATACAACCTTCCTCTATCTGTGACTGTGAATCTGTTGTTAATTTGCAAAACTTTCGGAGACTAGAAATGCATCATATAGGTCTCAGTTGTCAGGCAGGGATTGAAAAGAAAGCTGCTGCTACTCAAACGAGTAATACTCATATGCAGAGATACTCCTTTTGAAACTGAGTATTTTTCTGTTGCAATTCGCAGAAATAAAGACCTAGTTTTTTTGAGAAGAAGGTGGAAAGGAGTGATGAAAGGAATTCCTTTGGCATAAAACATTTAGTGACAGTTTTCAGACACTGAAGACCAGCCTAGATTTCAGTTGTTTGCTGAATTTGGTGTTCCTTGGTCATAGACTTGCATTTTGGTTTATGTACCACAAGTGCTGCTGGACTTAGCTACATTGATTTCAGTTTGTGAGCTTTTGCTGCTGATACAGGAGCTTTTCTATGAGCCAGCCAGTTTTTACCTCTACCACAGTTATGCTTTCTGATTAGTCGATATGGGTATATTGTAGTTCATAATTATTGAAACTGTAGAAACATTTTATTCTTCATTAGTGGTTGTAAGAGGATTCAACATATATGGGTATGATTCTTCTCCTCCATCAACTTTACAGTTGTCTTTACAGAAAATACAATAATGTGATTTTAATTTTTGAATATTGCAAGCTTGTCTTGTCATTGTTTTCTTCCACGTTAGCTAGAAATCTCTGTGAGAGTGCGAGTTTAAAAGTAAAGGAAGTCTTCCAAATGTGTGTTACACACTTTGCACGTGTACTTTCAGCTTGTTTTATTAGCTGCACTCTCATTTCAAAACTTGAACACGTGGCCTGGACGCTGTCTTATGCATATCCAGTGATAACAAATTGTAATGAAATTATATATGCGCAATAAAACTTCAGAATGTAAGATTTTATTGACACTGCAGATTTATGAATGATTTGCTTGGAAAAGATATCTTGGTTTATTAAACTGTATCTGTACACAGTTATATATTTAATTTTTTTTTAGTCACCATCCTTATTTCTCATGAATTCTTATTATTCTTTGGATAATACCAGTTAACTCAGTGAAATGTGAGATCAAAATCAATCCTTCAGCATTTGCAGCTGCCCAGCTCTGGAAACATTTCTTCAATGGAGTTGGTCACTTTTCCACAGTGATACTGGGATTTTAAGAGTTGGGTATCTTAAAATCTATCAAATTTTGAAACAATTCAAAACTGTGAAGAACTGAAATTTGGCTGTTTCAGGAGAAATCTGATCAGGAAATAGATTGCACTCAGCGGTTTCTGTAACTGATGCTTCAAAATCAAAATCCTGCCTTTAGAGTGGGCAAGGCTGTAGTTTTCATTAAGAAAATCAAGAAGCGGAAGAAAAAGTTGATTAAAAACTTTGCCTGTTTATACAACCTTTAGATATTAAGCATTTGATTATGCCAGCTCATATCAATTAGGCATTATATCTCTCAAACCTATACATTACAACTTCTATTTGGTTAAGCAAAATAATAATTTTCCCTTCTTAGGCAATCAGAATAAATGACCAAATTCTGAGAAAAACTGTGAAGCGACAGTTTGAATTGATTTTAGTTCAGATTAATCAAAATGATAAAATGAGATCTCAGGCTCTTATATTTACAATATTTTTTTCCTGCCATTTGCTGGCATTTTCAGAAGAGAGTAATTTCAGACTGAAAATTGATCTTTCATTAAAAAGCTAAAATAGGACATTCTGACAATTTCAAAGCTTGCTTTCTGAACCTTTTCCAAATGAAAAAAATTCATTGAAGGTTTTGGGGTTTTTTTTGGCATTTGGTTAAAGTTCTTATATGAATGCCATCAGTTTTAGGGCCCATAGGTACATAAGCCCTCAAAGCTGTTCCCATCATTGTGTGCCAAAAGTCAGATCTAGAAGAACATGTGTATTTGAATTTCTCTTGAATATTCTAGCAATACTATCTTCTTATCCATTGTACAGATGTTGGAAATTACTAAAACTGATATTCCTGTGGACTGCATGGACTTGATTTTTGTCGTTTTTCAACATTCTGATCTTGTACTGTTCATTGCTTCTAATGGAGGTTGCAGATGTTTATCACACTGGAAAAATAAGTCCTACATACTAACTGCATGTACAAAAGACGACTTATTAATACAGAGAAACAAAACTGCTGGGGGGGGTACTATAGTAAAAATGCTTTGCAGAATTGCTGTTATATCTTATCATTTGCTATATCTATAACATATATTGTCAGAGCTTAGAATTTAAGGGTGTTTTTTACCTTCAGTTTCTGAACTTCTTTTTAAACACAGGAATACAAGACTTATGATGAGAAACAGAAAAACCCACTGAGCAACAGCTGGTTAGAAAGGCTGTTTATGATTTTTTTACTCACTGTGTAAGAAATAGTTCCACAGGATTGTGTCAAGTATGTCCAAACCAGTTCAAAATGAAGTGTGTAGTCCAATAAAAGAATATAGCTTATATTCTGTAGGCATGTTATGGCAAGGAAAGTTGTGTTATGTATATCTTGTTATGATTTTGCTCCAATATGGGACTTGGATTTTGCACTTTGCAGAAACAGCCTTTGAGTTGGTGCTGCTGAGGTAAATAGAGCCCAGCTGAGGCCCTGCAGTGGGGCTGAGATGACCTGGACTCTGTCCCCAGTCCTTCAAAGACATGCTGCGTGACACCGGACCATCTTCTATCTTTCTATTCCTCCATCTTCAGCTTTATGGTGGAAAGTTAAGCATAGCTTCCACAGGCTTTGTACAGCGCTCAGCTAGCAGCAATACTTGATTTAATAGAAATAGTAAGCTCTTTTTTTCCCATTTGAGAAAGTCCATTTTAGGCACTGCCTGAGTTGCGAGAAAAAAAAGGTTGTGAAAACTTCACAGAAGCGGCACTGGGCGACCTTCTTGTTGGGCAACCTGGAGAGGACACAAAACTAGCACATAAGTGAATAAACATTTCCAGTCAAATGAGAAGGCGGTGGGTCCAGTTAAACCAATACAAAGCCATGCACTAAATGCTGTCAGTTGAGCTTAAAACACATCTCTAATACTGTTGAGAGAGTAACACGAGCTGCATTTCATTATGTGCCTTTCTAATAATATCTTTTTCTCTTCCCTTTCCCCAGCCCGCTCTGGAGACAACTGGTGAGTTCTGTTTAGAGATCTATTTGTATGCACGGGAGGCAGTCAACAAAAACAGCTGCTCATAAACATCGCTAGGACAGACACAGATTTATAATTACTGTTATTGTTATTGTATTAATTTTCACACTTCATAAAGATAACAGCAAGGGCTCATGTCCTACCTCACTTGTCTTTTTATTTTTCAGAAATAGATGTAGATGGAGGAATTGATCAAGACATCTTTGACATCAATGAAGGTTTTTAAAAATTCAGTTTATCTTTTAATATTTTTTTTGTAATTTTCATTATGGCAGCCACAGATCAATAAAATAACTGAACATTTATCTCCTCTTCCCTTTAGCTTTAGGACTAGATCTTTTTGAGGGAGACATCAAACTTGATGGGGTGAGTTCAAATATAAAATATAAAACCAGAAATATGTCATTGACTTATGCAATGTAAAGTATCACTGGCATGGAAATGATTGATGCATCCTGCTCCTACTAACAATAAATGCTGTTTATGTAACAATAAACTGAGAACGTTTTGGGGATGGAGTTCTACAAAATGTCACAGACAATGAAGGAGTCAGGTGCATTTGCAGAAACATTATCCAGAATAAGATTGGTTTAGCCATTAGATCAATATTATTAGCTTCTTGTTTCCTTTACTGCGTTTTTTGTATTTGAACTTTTAAGAGATTCAGCAGCACCGATCATCATTTGGACAGGTTTTTATTAAAGATTCTTCATTTATCTGCACGGTATTTATTATGAGCTAATTAAATTTACAGACCAATGCTGCAAAACCTTCTTCATACAAGTAGATTCACTAAAACAAATGGAAAATTAGATCTGTAATAACACATTTTAAAGCATCTCTCCAGTATTCCTATCTGATCCATTAAAAAAAAGTATTTACATGGCAGGTTACATCCTAAAGAGACCTAGGAGAAGCCCCAAAAATGTTTTATACCCCTGAAAGTCAATAGTGTTTTACTGTCCCTTTTGGTGAACTGCTCTGGCCTGAGCATATCAGTGGAAGCAAGGACAGCACTTGCTAAGGGCACAGGAACAAACCCTTGCATTATGAAAAATTACAGAAATATTAATCTCTGTGCAGTTTTCAGGACTTTAGATGTTAATGTTTCACACAGGGGCTGAAGCTCTCCTCATATATGCATCAAAGTCAGGTAATTTGTATGGAGAAGATGCTGCAGAAGTTGGACACTGGTGGAAGGGAGTGAAGGGATTTCAAACTCAGGTCTTAGACTTCTGAGTGATCTCCCAGAGTTTTTGAGCTCTTTGATTTCCTATGTGTCTTATATAGATTTATAGGATACATGCTTTGCTTTAGTACTATTGTAGTCCCTGATCCTAGATAATTTTTTACTGAGGGCTGCATACTTATTTTCCTTCTCAGATTCAGGAACGAAACTCCATCATTGGTGATGACTATCGGTGGCCCCACGTTATTCCCTATGTCCTTGAAGATAGCCTAGGTACAGTATATATACAATGTCTGTGTGTCATATTGATTGAAACATTAAATGCAGACTGGTAACGATACTGTGGCATCCTTTTCTCTTGTAAGGAAACTATCATGCATTGTATATGCATCATGCCCTATTTTATACATAAGCACCAAAGAAAAATTACATGGAAACAAACCAAGAGAAAGATATGTCAGAACAGTCTTATTTCTAGTTTTTCAGTCCCTACCCAGGTCTTAATCCAGAAAAAAACCTGCTTATTTTAATCAAAGATTGCTGGAGCAAGACCCACCCTTAGGACTTGCAGCATACAGATCACAGCACAAACCTTTTGGCTCAGTATTGATGAGGACACTGTTTGCTTTGCAGAAATGAATGCTAAGGGACTCATCCTCAAGGCATTTGAACAGTATCGACTGAAAACCTGTATTGACTTCAAACCTTGGGAAGGGGAGAAGAATTACATATCTGTGTTCAAAGGAAGTGGGTAAGAGGAGTAATGTAAAATAATAACTCTCATCCTGTTTGGCTACAGGCTATTTTCATAGCCAGTGAAAATAATGGCCATTCTAAAACTCATATATCTGATTATATTTTTGTTGTGTCTGTTTTTCCAGTCTTTTTTTTAAAGTGGAAATTGTAGTAGTTCCCAAAACAGATATTACCTTGATAGTAATGAACAATGTCTTGCTGATACTTATTTTTAAATATAAGACATAATCAAGTCCTTTAAGAGATAATTTTCTAGGCACGGTAAAAGATACCAGAAACAAGCCAATTATTTTCTTGCTTGATCTTTGGCTATATGGACTGTCACTTTCAAATGGTCATTCTTAACATACCTTATTTTTTAGGAAAAAAAATATCCCAGTGGAAATATGGTAGTTCAGACTGCAGGACAATGAATTTTTTTGTTATAACAAATGGAATTGCATTTGAACAGCATCACAACAGCATTCAAATATAGCAGTGATGTTTTTGAATGCTGCAGAGCGTTGAGATATTTTGCAAAGGTTTAAGTTTGTTTACGTCTTTTGATGAATAGTTATGCTATTCAGTCTTAAATTTTGCAAGATAAGAATCCAGCAAAGAAGTCAAAATTGCTCCAGGTGCTTCCCTTTCTAAGATAGTCTCTGTCAAAACAGTGCAACAAAAAGAAATATATTCTCCACTTTATACTGAACCATTTCTCTGTTAGAAAAGGTTAGGGAAAGCTTGATAGCCTGGTGAGGAAATTTACTTTCAGAAAATTATTTCCTGATACGAGAATGCATTCATAAGTGGGAAAAGATTTTCTGATAATAGAAATGTTTCCCTTTCCCTTTGGCTTGTTCTGAGATATTTGTAGCAGATAATTGTTTCAAAATTTCCTTGGTCTCTGACTCTTTATATTTTCTACTCTTCATGCTGTGCACATGACTTTGAAACTCAGCCCTAAAAGATGCATAAGTGGAGGCTTAGGGAGCAATGCATTTTCCTGTGCTAATGACTCTACGGCTTTTTAAGCCAAATAGAAAAATCATGTAGCTAGATTTTTTGGTCCTTCATCACATAAAGTATGCATTGAATTTCCTAATAATTATACCTGAAAAAGAGCCACAATATTTAGCCTATGGCAAGTAAGAGGTCCCTGTACAATGTTTCATTTATATTTCTATTAAAAATAGATGAGTCATGTTGACAAAAAAGACAAGTCACTCTAGTTGGATATCGTATCTTGCCCTCACTGCCTGGTGTGTTGCTTGCCCTTCAAAGTTTCTATCATCTCAGCTGACACATCCGTAAAAAAACTAGCACTTTTTAAAAGATTGAAGCTAAATGGTGCAGTCTCCTGCAGGAGACCTCCATGAATACCTGATGTCTCATGTGGAAATACTAGAGATGGGGTTGATCTCTCTCTGGTCTGCTATTGATTTGACTGTACTACATG